GAACCTACAAGAAGTCTTGAACTTTTGTCAACCATTGTTGATGACCATTTGTACCAAAACAGCCACCAATCATGATCCTCTCAAATTGATCAATTTTAAATAAAAAGATTGATCTCTATGTCATTAATAACACAAATAAAGCATCATATATAGCTTCATAATCATATCGTGTTTGTTAATGTGTCTCTTAACAAAGTCAAAATTCTATCATACTCACATCTCAATCAAATTATATTAATGTGCAGATAAAAATCATCAACTTAATAAAATATTTAATTTTAATTATTGTCACACACATACATTTTATTAAGAGAAATTATTGTATGTCTCAATATAATTTTAGCTAATCATCACATAGGATATGATTGTGTTTTATTTTTTTTTATAAGTAATGATTGATTCAAATTGTAGTTTTTTAATATTTTTTAGTGAATTGAACTTCATATTATTAATCTTTGTAATCTTTTTTTTTTTGTTTATACTTGTTTGGATCATTTAGAAAGTCAGGAATATGTAAATATTTTATGATATTGTTTGACAAGAGTAAGAAGATTCATCAAGATATTGAAACGATTTATATCATTTCAATAGTTTAAAAGTGAAGTAATCTATTTTTTGGAAGCCACTAAAAAAATCAAATATATTAATTTAAATTAAATGGAGATGGTAGTTTGATTTAAAATCCAGATCGTGTTCCAAAAGCATAATAAAAAGGTTTATTAATGAATAGATTACGAGATTTTTAGAATATTGTGACACCTCTGAAGTTATTGAAGGGTTAGTCTTATAAATATTATTTTTAAAATTGACTATAAACTTTCTTTATTTTTTATTTAGAACGATGACTCTACACTTTTTACCCGTATGTTATAGTAAATGTTATTCCGAAGATCTCTTCTTAGGAGTAGACAATTTGTTTTTGTCACACTTTATAGAAGGACAATTTTGTTAATACTTGGTTGGCAAAGGCATTTTTATAGATCAACTTTTAGCTATGAGTCTTAGCTAAATCCTAATCTTAGCTTTGTGATTCTACTTTAATTTGTTAATTTTTTTGTTATTAATAAAAATTGATAAATACATGTTAGTCCTCAGATTCGATGGTATAACGATTACTATACTTAGAGATCTTAACTCTAATTTCTAACTAATTTGAGAAGGTAAAAAAGAGATATAAAATTTTGAAAAAATAAAAGGATAAAAAGGCTGGCAAATCTAGAAGAAAAAGAAATTCTCACCACATCTTTCCTTCAAAGTGCTATCAAGAAAAGAAAGAATAAAAAAGGTTGGCTCCCCAAAACACTACAAAAAAAAAAAAAATTAGAAAACAGTTTTGCATTATTTTGTAAAGCAGTTCAAACTAATCTAACAAACATTATTATGCAAAGTAGATACACTTAGATTAGTTCATATGTCACTTAGAAAGTTATTTTTATAACTTCTCTCCAAAGTACTTTTTATAATTCAATTTTTTTTTTCTCATGAATCTTTTATTACAAATATAAATTGATTCACTGTTATGTTAAAAATAGATGTTTGTCTAAATTTTAAATTTTTTTTCCTTCTCAATTCGTTGTTGTGTTGAAACTTGAGTTGATATAGCGTGTTAACCAAACAGTCTATATTCTAATGAATGGAACACTAGTAAATAGAAAGGTGCAAACAAGATATCTAGGGTAGTGGAAGGAGCCAACCTTGTTAGCATAAATAGGGACCCTTGCCATTTTTGTAACGGTGATTTGAAAGTCAAATTTGGTAATCGAGAAAGAGGTGAAGGTTATGAAAAAAAAGATGAAGAGAGATTCATGCCACTGCTATTGCGAGTTGAGCAACGCCTCACCCTTATGTACATTTATAAGTTAGAAGCTGTTAAAGTATCTTAAAATTATAATTTATAAGAGAAATTAGATACATAACCACTCTTTAAAGATGACATTAAAGAGCAATTAGTATATGACTATTCTCTAAAAGTGACTTTAAAAAATAGTTAGTACGTAACTACTTTAGAATGACACATTAAAAAATGCTAGACCAAAGTTAATTTAATTTTTAACTCAATTTTAAAATTACAATTTCACTTTAATAACAAAAAAGTAATTTTAATTTTTAGTCTTTAATTATAAAACAGAATACTCAAATAGTATATATCTTATAATACATACAACAATTACCATTAGGTATCATTAATTCTAGCATAAGTTGATTGGTGGTTTAGTGATATCATTGTACCACCAATGACTCAATACTATCAGCACATTCATCACACTAATCTTTCTTATTGATTGGTGATATCGTTAACTATTATTACAATAATATTTATTATTAATATAATTATTATCATTGTTATTATCACTTTTATGATTATTATTATTTGTGTTATTATCATCGTCGTTATCATTATTACTATTGTCAAGTTATTACACTAACACAATCTCTATTATTATCACACTAATTATTGCTATAATTTATCAACTACCATTTTATTTTCATTTTCCTTACCCTTGTTCATAAGCTCACCATCACTTCATCATAAAACTAACTTAAATTTAAAAATAAAAAGGAATTTGTGTAATTTAAATTTAAGATTTGATTAAATTTTAAAAACTACAAAAAAAACTAAAAGTTATAAATTAAAAATTTATTTTAATTTTTAAAAATTTAAAACTTAATATTGATAACTAGACCGAATAAGATCTAATTGAGTAATGCTAATAAGTGAAGTAAAAAGTCACCATTTCATATTACTTCATAATAATTACAAATATAGTATAATTATTTATATGTTATGTTACTGCTTTACAGTAATAGAAATTATTTTTAAAAATTTTAAAAATGATGAAAAATAATTTAACAAAAATATCCTTAACTCAAATTATATGAGGTGGTGTTTTTAGGTATTAGTTTTTTTTTCTTAATTTATCATAATCATCTAATTTTAAAAAAATCAAGGGGTTGTAGTATTTTTTTAAGAAAATTAAAACAATAATTTCTAAAAAATTTCCTCATTAAATTTTTTTTAATATTAAATTGACATGCATTGTGCGTTTAGTGTGTATTTTTTATCCTTAATATAACAACAATTTTTTTAGTATCTTCAAGAAGACATAATAAAAAAATTAATATTAATAAATTTTAATTAAAATTTATAATATTTAATATTATTAATATATATATTAAATTCAATAATATCATACAACTTTCAATAAAAACTTAATTTATATGTCATGAAACATAAATTTAAAACACCGATTAACTTATTCTACGTTCCAGAAAAAATAGCGTTGTTGTAAGATTTTATACATGCGAAAGATGTGGGTTAAAAACGGCGACCACAATCAGAAATCTAAAACTTCTTTGTGATATCGCATAGGATATGTGGTTGGTTTATTTAACTGTGCACGTAAGCTGAATCAACCAACTGCAATTATATTTTATTAGAAATAAATGAATAGTAATCCTTTTTTTTATTAGAAATAAATGAATAAATTAATAAGACTAAAGAAAATAATTAAATTATTTATATTTTTTAAATATAAATTTATTTTAAAAATATCTCTGATATTACATAGTGTAGTTGTAACTTATATACTAATAACATTAATAAAAAAAGAATATAAAATAAATTTAAATTTATCATATATTTTTATAATTAAAAAAATATTCAGTTTTATTTTTTATAAAAAGGACAGAAAGAATATATCACTTCTTAATCATTTAGAGTTTACTAATATGCCGCTTAGTCAATACTCTATCGAAACTATCCTGATCAAATTATTGTTGGCCGTAAATGAAGAAATATTCATTTTCTTTATTTAATTTATTAGAATTTTATTTTGTATTGATTTATGTATAATTTTATTTTTTTAAATTGAAATTGAAATTTATTTTTTTAGACTTCAAATATTTTTATTAAAAATAATAATTATATCTAAATTAAGTAAAATTATTATGAATTTCTTCAAGTATTTAATATAGTTATATTTATTGAGACTTAAACTTGAAATTATAGGTTAAAATATTAATAAAAATATAATAAAAATGTAACAATTATTACTTTGCATAAATTAATAAAATATATAAAGTGTAATAATTTTATTATTATTTTTTCTTTATAAATTTTTATAAATTAATAATAAATTATATATTAAATGAAAAGATTGATCCCTGTTTCACTAACACTTATAAAGCATAGTACATCACTTCTTAATCATTCACAGTCTACTAACATGCCGGTTAGTCAATACTCTATCGTACTCGTCCCGACCAAATTCTTGTCGGCCGTAAACGAAGAATCTCAAGTTCAATAAAATATTTAGTTTTATTTTAATTAGACTTTTATTTATACTTTGATTTATGTATAATTTTAGCCTTTTAATTTTGATTTTTTTTTAATTTTCAAATTATTGAAATTAAGTTTCTTATTTCAAAATTACATTTAATTATTAAAAATATAATAAAGTGTGACATTATTAAATTTTATAAACTAATAAATAAAAATATTTATAAAATAGTAAATAAAATATATAAAGTGTAATATAGAAGCCTTTATTATTTTTCCTTTGTAAATTTATATAAATTAATGATATATTATTTGTTATTATATTTTTTTGTTAATTATAAAATTAAAATTTAAAAATAAAAGACTTAATAATTAAAAAACTAGATAGTTTAGATGAGAATAATTGAAATTAAAAAAAATTCAAAATCATACAAAGTATGATAATTAAAATGTAATTAAGTAAGCCTATTTATATGGACTCATAAAACAACACATTAGTAAAATCAAAGAGAGAAATTTTGGGATGATCTAGAACGCTTGCTTGCTTATAGTATTAGTCAATCATTATGTGATATATGAACAATGTTTTAATAAATTACAAACTATGATCAAATATAACATAAAATTTGGTCGAAGGTCATGGTCGAAATCAAACAGTAATTTCTCCAAACATAGAGATTACAGGGGATACTAGCTCTAATTTCTAACCCATCTGAGCAGGCAGCTGTAGAAGAAAAAGAAATTGCCCACAATATCTTCCCTTCAAAGTGCAAAATGAAAAGAAAGAAAAAAAAACTGTCCAATAATTTAGCTAGCAGGAACTAAAATCTGCCAAACCTTAATGTCGCAGTCCAAACTGCCGCTATAGACTAAGAAAGATGCTTGGGACTCTGATGTGTTCCAATGGTCAACCACTGCAGTTAGGCACTTAATTGAACCTTTATGCCCTTCTAAAACAGCTAAACAAGAATATTCTTCTCTATAAACCCCTCTCCAAATTCGGATTGTTGTATCGGCAGAACCACTACACACCAAATCCGCCACAACAGCCAAACACAATATGGACTTTGTGTGGCCCCTTAACGCACCCACCACCCCCATTTTCCCATCACCCCCTTCTTCCTTCTCCCAAACCAATATAGACCTATCACATGCACCAGAATACAAAAGGGTCTCATCACTGCTCAGCGCCAAGGCATTGATTCCAGAGTTGTGTTTCTCCAAGGTGTCCAAAAGGGTGTGTTTTTTTTCTCCTTGATTTTTTTTCCACACCTTGATTCTCTTATCCGCTGATCCGGTGTAAACGACCCCATCATAGGAAACTACAACTGCGTTTATGGCATCTTCATGTGCGTTGGTAACTGATTCCAAACATGTGAAGTCTTTTGTTCTCCAGATTTTGATTGTCCTGTCCCATGAAACTGAGTACAACAAGGTACCATCTTGGGACAAGGCAAGGGAAGAAACTGTGTCCACGTGATGAACCCACGTGCATTTCTTGTGCCTTCGGATTTGGACATGGTTCTTGGGGATCAACACCTTGGAGGCACGGTCACCAAGGGTAGGGAGTGTGGCTAAATGGGTGTATTTTTGTTGTTCAGGTTGGTGGTTACTGTTAGTAATTTTCCAAACCCGAATTTTGTGGTCTTGGTGGGCGCTGAAAAGTTTATCAGATTGAATTACCAAGGACTTCACAGCACCTTCGCCAGCAACAACTATGTTATAGGTTGAGTTTGGTGATTCAGAAAGAAACGGGGTGCGGTTCCAGGATCTGATTTCTCTGTCCGAAGAACCTGTGTAGAGGAATTTGCCAGAAAGGGTTAAGGAGGATATGTAGGAGGTGTGGCCTTTGAGGGTTGTGAGGCAGTAGTGGTTGTTGCTGGTGATGGAAGTGTTATTGTGGTGAGATTTGGAGTTGTTGAGTGAAGGAATTGAGATGAGGCTGCGTTGTGATGTGAGGGATGTTAAGCCTGGTTGGTGGTTGTTAGAGTGAGATGAGGAAGGCACACTATAAGATCGCTGGTACTGATCCATGGTTCACATAATGTTAAGGTGAGTGTGAAAATGGAATAGCAGAAAGCGAAATGAGCTATTATTATATATATGTGGAGAAAGAAGTAGTTGTAGAGTGGCTAGTTATATTGGTCCAGTTATATTAGAGCTTCGCGTGTGGGGTCTGGAGGGGACACGGTTGGAAAGCAAGATTGAAAATGTGAGTTCATTAGAAGTAAATAAATCTCTTAAGTTTGTTATTTATAATTAATTATTAATTAATGTAATAATTGATTGTGAAAAATAAATTTTGTGTTAAAATACATTAAATAAAAACGTGATTTTAAAATTATTTAAAACTATTAATCTTAACTTTTAAAAATAATATAAAAGTTATGTTTTGCTTATTTCATTTGTAAGGAAAATAATCAAATATAGTCGGATTTTAAAATGTATACGATAAATTCAACCAAATTGACAATTTATCAAGAATATCATAAGGTTAAGCAATATAAGGTGTCCATACGACGGCTGGGGCATTAGGGTTATGGATGGATTTGAAATAAATTTGAGCTAAAGTTTATTTGAAATAAACATGTGATTAATCATTAATGAGGTGGTAGTGTGAATTTTAAGGTTGTTGTTATGAATGGAAATAAGTTAGACTGCTCAATAGAGACTTACAACTTAATCTTTTTAAAATGCTTAATTAATTGAGTGATCAAACTTGAGTTTAAGAAAAATTCTAATAGACCTAATAGAATGATCTATTGAATACTTGTAAAATTTATAATAAAATATTAACTAATTTTATATAAAAATTATATTATTATATTAAATTAATTAATTAAATTTTAAAATAAATAAAATCTTAAATTAAAAATTATAATTTTTTCGTTAGAGTTGAAAAGTGTCTCTAATACATATCTTCTGAGAGAGAGAGAGAGAGATATCACTACTCGTTGGAGTCTTTTGCATTAGTGTTGTTTGATTTGTTTTGTACGCATAACGTTGATATGTATTTGTATTTGTTAAATATTTAGTAATTTAGTTATTTAAATTAAATATGTTTGAAAATAAGAAATATGAATATGTAATTTTATTATAAATGTGTTGAACAATTTTTTAATTGCTTATTTAGATATAAGCCTCGTAACCTTCATAGAGACATACTATTTAGATGATTTGATAGTCTATTTATAAAGAAATTTAATGGCATATTAAAAGTTCCATTATGAAGTTGGTCATTAAAAAATCTAACAGGTCAAATTAGATTTTTAAAAATATTAGGTTAGACTTAATAAAAAACCTATTACCGGTAATAGGTCAGACTTAATTTTCAATATTATTAAATAGGTCATATCTACTTATGCAAAACTTAACCTATTTCATGATATCAAAACTCTAGCTTTAAATTACTTTAAGTCTTTATACTATGATCCCCAATCCCTAAGACTTTATTCTGAACATTCAATCCTCTTTTCCTCCCATGAAAGATTCTGATAATCAATGGAAAATATTGGAAAACTTTATATATGATTTTGTGTTGTCTGTGTTTCATGATCCTAAGAGAATTGTTTAGGTTAATAACACTTGCCTCACCCTTATCCCTAAATCTGAAAGCCCTGTGTCCATTAGGAAATTCAAGCCCATTTCCTTATGTAATGTGATCTACAAGATAATTACCAAATTCCTGGCCAATAGACTAAGAGACTCCCTGTCTCACTTGATCTCTACCAACTAGTGCAGTTTCATCCCTTGTAGGCAAGGGATTGATAACTCCCTAATTCTCTAGGAAGTTGTTCACTCATTCCATAAGCTTAGGGTAAAAGTGGGTTTATAATAGTTAAACTGGATTTAGAAAAAGCTTATGATAAGCTTCGATGAAAATTTATCATAGATACCTTAAAAAGTTATAGTTTTAGACTAATGTTATTAATCTCATTCAAGCTTGTATCTCCTCTTCTTTAATGACCATTAACTGGAATAATAGCACAACTAAAGCCTTCCAGCCTACTAGAGGTATACGCTAAGGAGACCCTATATCCCTTTATTTGTTTGTGCTATGTATTGAAAATATTACTCATCTTATTCAAGACAATATCCATAATAAGGAGTGGGTCCCTTTTTTCTTTGGATCATATGATCTGCATATATCTCACACTTTTTTAGCAGATGACATCATTTTGATTACTAAGGTTGACTTGCATCAAGCTTCTATTATCCAAAACATCTAGAATTCTTCTTGTCAAGCCTCGAGACTGAAAATAAACACTGATAAATGCTCTTTGTTTTTCATCCAAAAATACTGACCTGGCCCTTAGGCAGAATATTAGTGGGCTCCTGGGTATTAAATCTTTTAGTTAGATTGGTAAATATCTTGGTATTCCTATCACTCATCATAAATCCTTACGGAATCAATTTTCCTTTCTAATTGATGAAATTAGGAAAAAAACTCTCCTTATGGAAGATGAAAACCCTCTCCTTGGCTGGTAAGGTGACTTTAGCCCAATCTTGTCTCATGAGTATACCCTCTTATATAATGTAAATTGCCCTCTTTCCAATAGTTGTGTGTAATGAGATCAACAGTCTGTGCAAGGAATTCATTTAGGGATCCTTGGATACTAGAAAATGTCATTTGATTGGCTAGAACAAAATATGTAAACTTAAGAATGAGGGAGGATTAGGATTTAGAGATCTTCATATGCTTAACAAAGCCTATATAATGAAACTGTGTTGGAGACTTTACTCATCCCCTAATGACCTTTGGACTCAAGTCTTATGTGAAAAATACAGGATTTTTGTAGGACAACATTTGCCTCTTAGGAAAAATAGCAGGGCTTCCCCTCTCTGGAGTAGCATAGCCTCAACTTGGCCTTTGTTTTTGAAAGGTCTTAGTTGGGAGTTAGGAGATGGCTGCCTAGTTAGATTTTTCATTATTGGGTTTCCTCTTTCCTTAATTTGGAATCTTATTCCCAGTATCCAGTTCTTAAGAGGGAGCTGGCTACTCTTGTGGCTCTTTTCTCTGATAAAGAGAATTGGAATTGTGTTAAATTTAAGTCCTTTCTTCCTACTCACGTTTGTGAGGAAATTGCCAAAATTAATCCTCCTATGTTATCAAATAGACCTGATTCAGCCTCCTAGGCCTTATCCAACAATGGATCTTTTCCCATCAAATCTACATATTAATTAATTTCCCAAGACTATCACTCTCCCACCCCCTATCTTGATGTGTTTAAATCTGTTTGGAAATGGAAAGGCTTTCCCAAATGACCTTTTTCCTTTGGAAAATATCCCATGGTAGGTTACTTACTAATGCAGAAAGAGCTAGAAAGGGAATGACTTCTCTAGCTACTTATCCCAGGTGTAGGGCTATTGAGGAGTCAAGAAAAGAAATAGTTAATGATATAATCAACCAATAAATTATGACTTAATTACTCAATCACCAGGATTTATCCAGTTGAAATAATTAAGAATTCCGAATTGAAATAACAATAGTTATTGAACTATCCAAATTAGTTCGATATTCATTTTTTCTTTTCTATCCACGTAGTTTTTTTGTGAATCCATACAATTTTAGTTTTTATCTTACCCTAAATTTGGAACTCTTCTTTGAATTCTTCGTTCTTTTTTTTTTTGAATTTCTTACTATTCAATTCATAATTAGAGATGAAACGGAAGGACTTTGTTTTTTAAATCCCTATCGAAATTGACAGTAGTAGCAGGGCAATTTTAGATATATAATGTTAGTTTTTTTAGATATATAGTTAGTTCATATATAACTAGTTTATATATAATATCACATATACATGTATTTCTTCCATGCCGTAAACCAATTATTTGTGTTTTAGTTTCAATCAGATTCGAGAATCATTATTTGAAATCTAAAAAAAAAAAGAAGGAGTTGTTTTATAGTGATTGGATTATATATACCCAGTTTGACTTCCCCCACTCCTACTCTATTTTTTTTGAATCTTGGTTTTTTTTGAAAATCCTTCTTTCATCCTTTTATTATTATCCGATATGGATATACAAAATCGAAATCAATTCGTTAGACTGAATTATTGCAGAGAAATATTGGAATTTGAGTGATAAAAATGTAATTCTTTTTTGAATTATCTTTTGGTCAATCGTTAAATTGAATGTGAATGAATGAAACGGGAATCTGTTCTAGTTCTATATAGCATATTTTTATCACATGTAAATATTATACTTTTCTAATATAGAATATCTAATATACTAATATATCTTAATCGAATTAGATATATATATCTAAATTCTATATATATAATCGAATCTAATATCTAATAATAGTAATAAATAATCTAATAATATATATAGAATAATATTTAATATGTTATAGTTATAATTGAATGAACAAAAAATGGAATGAACAAAACAAAATATAACAATACAAAAAAAAATATTCATTGGAGGAAAATCGAAATAGGTCAAACAAAAAGTCTTTTTAGGAAAACTAGGAAAAAGATCTTTTGGATGGATCTCTTTCCTAGTTTTTTTACAATTTTCTTATCAATGGACTTGGTTTTTCTTTACTGGATTATCTGATTGGGTTTATAGAAATCTATCTAATCCTTATTTGAGTAAATTTTCTAATTGGCAGCAACTTTTTGGTTTTATTATTTGGCATTTATGGAAAGACAGAAATGCTTTTGTTTTTCAGAATTCTTCTGCTCTTACCCCTTCTCTTATTTGGCAAATAGTGCGTGATATTGAGTATACTGACTTTTATTGCAGGAACCCTCATCTCTCCTTTCCTAGATGTGCCATGAACCAAGTTAGGATACGTTGGGTTCCCCTTCCAAGGGGTTAGATCAAATTGAACACAGATAGAGCTGCGTCTTTCAATACTCCACTTGTTGCCTGTTGTGGTCTTCTCAGAGATTGGAAAAGAAAATTTGTAGCAGGATTTTATTGCTCCTTACCCCCTTGCATCCCCCTTGAAGTTAAGCTTTGGGGCATCTATTATGGCCTTTAAGTGTTTTTGCAATATACTGACCAAAACTTATGTTGGATGAAAC